AACGACAACCAAGGAAATGGCTTTACATCCATCATAAGAATCTTAGCACATTTCTTGAAGTTACAAAGCCCTTGAATGATACTTATACTATAACATCTGAATGGGATACCCTGGAGCAGAAAGGTACTTAAAATTGTCTAAAAACAGATCAAGATCCACTAACTCCCTTGATAGAAAAGCCAAACTCACAATGTGTACTGGAGCAACTCAACATCAGAGGCTAAAGTCTATATATTCCTACTCATAAGTTCAAATTAAAGTTTAACCAGTAAAATAATTACTGACATTGTTAAATTTAGGAGAAAAAGTAGGTCACAAAATGCATAAGTTGCAAAATCTGGAAGCACTCACCCAATTAATGTGCTGCAAGAATAAACACAACCAGAGGATTTTTTAAAGTCCTCGACAAGACATTAATGCTTACAGTTGGTTGAGAAAGAAAATATTTACATGCTTGCATCTATAATACCAACATCATCTGAGTGGGTAGTCTATTTTGTGGTAGCAGCATGTGATCTGGTGTTATTTTGATTGATGAAGTAAGTTGCCATTTCTTTTCTTCACACTAAGTTGCAGGAAATGATGTTATCAATGAGAATTATGAAATTCATGAAAAATAATTAAGACCTTATGAGACATGATAAATTATCCCATAACCAACATACCCATTCATAATTTCAAATCTTAAATTATAATAACGATAATTATCACAAACTTCCATTGTTGCCAAAAAATGTAGTAAAGAAACTGAACTTTTTCAGTTCAAAGACCACATTAAACTAAAGTTGACAGATTAAGAAGATATCTTTCAGTTTTATGATAAAATTCAATTTTATTAATTATTTCAAACTTGCTTTCATTATCTACAATAAACTAATGTCAAAGTTCATTAATATTTCTCAACAAATGGCAAAATACACAAATGAGCCAATCAGTCATAATTTTCTTTTTGCAAGTATTTTCTGAAAATGTCCATGTTTTTCATTACAAACTACAAAACTAAATGAATAATTCCAGTAATCCAAACAACTGCTGGAATGGAAATAACATCAACACCCAAGAGGATGCTTTCCCAATTACTATAATCTTAGTCTGTTCAAGTATAGAGTCAACCATTATCTTTCCCATATATCCCCATAATTTGTGCCTCTTAACCTGTAACCCTCTACCTCAAGTAACTCTTGAGCCTTGTACACTTCTCAAATTATATAAGCTAGAAAACAGGGACTCTGTGATGAAAGAGGTTACATAATATTACCTTATATATATTATTCATGATATTTTGTAGAAGTTCATTTCTATGGGAGAGAAGACAAATTTCCTCTGCAATCAGGAGCTATCACCTATTCTTTAGTTTCAGTAACAACAACCAGAGAGAAATGAGAAAATGTCTAGTAAACTGTACACCATTCCCCCATGATAAGGGAAAATAAGGTATCATCTGAAGTGTGCAATATTTTAAACAAGTCTGTGGGAAAAAGGAGTCAGCTCTGTTCAAGAAAATAAAAGACACATTGTATCCTGAATATACTTGGTTATAAGCAGACATTTATAATGCTAATAATGTTCAATTTTGACACAAAATTGGATTTATATATGCATAGGAAATATTCAACAAACAAAAATATACAGTTTACAAATAACTCTTTAAATCTTCCATTTCAATTTTATACTTAAAATATTATATTTGTTTCAAATCACTAGAAACATGCTACATGGCATGAAAAATGTACTGATGGAAAGATATAGAAACTTATATTGGCACATTTTTACTATTGTTTACTCTATAGGAGGCCCAAGAGCCACTTGTAGTAGAGGATTACTGAAGGAGTTTGTCATGTGAGCAGTGATACACAGTTTATAAGATGTGGGAATGAATAATAGTTAACCATTGACTTGAAGGGATTAAGATTGTAGTAGTCAGGAAAGCATCTTCTTGGGAGACAGTTCATGGGAAGAAGTTGTTCAAGTGAAACATACTTCTCAATAATGAAATATGAAAGGAATTGGTGGGGGGGGGCACTGCAGTGTATGTGGCATGGCTGGTCCCAGCTGCAAAGGTTAGAACTGGTGAAACTAAGGAATGTAACTCATCTGAACATTTTCCATGGAAATAGTGACAGAATAACAAATGGCATGCAACATTCCATCTGCAGGAAAGAGGTTGTCAGGTGGAAAATAATTCATCACTCACAGGGTTTTTGGACTCTATCAAAACTGGAAAATTAAGACAGGACAGCACAGACCCAGATATGGCACCAGTACTCTATTTTTGGTTTGATCTGTCACTTGTAAAGGTAGAACATATCAGAAGGAATATGGTACTTACTGGAGCTGTACAAGAACTGAGCATTTTAACAGTAGCTTTAGCAATGGATTGTATATACAAATTCTACTTCTAGTTTTGGGTGAGTCCCAATAGGTATTCAAACCAAGAGGCCTCCTTGAAAGAACACCCATTCATTGCAATAAATGAAAATTCTGAATTGGCTCAGTGATGATGAATGTTACTAGTTTGCTTTTGAGGTATTGAATGTAACCAGCCAGTATTTCCCCCATTGAATTATTAGTGTTAAGTCAAAGAAAAGATCAGCTGTCAAGCTCTCATCATCTAGAATTTTGAGGGTGCACTTATATATTGTATTATCTTCCTAGATCTCCACAAAAGATTGGGGTACAAACTTAAGCATATCATTAATGTAAAGCAGAAAGACAATTGGACCAAGAAGCAAGCCTTGGGGAATGCCTGAATTGAACTCATGGACCCCAGAGTACAAGTTGTTAACAACTACCGTCAGGGGCCAACCCATTAGAAAGAACTTGATAGTTGAGAAATCTCTTGAAGTGATTCCATAGCTGGAGAGTTTGTGAAGCAACCCTCTGTGCCACACCTTATCAAAATCCAATTTCACATTTTTGAAAACACTTACCACAGACTTGGGAAGGATTTTTCCTTTGGGCAGCGGTTAAATAGTTTTACTAAGATTGGGGATAACTTAAAGCTGATATTCATAAGGACAACCACTGAGATTTTATCTAAACTTGTAGCCTTTTCAGGGCCAATACTTTTGACAAGGCTTGAAACTTCCCAAGTTGTGATAGAATTAATACTAAGTTTGTGCCCGATAAGAAGGTGGATGGGAAAGGGATTGCCTTTGTTGCAAAGATCATAGTGAAGGGTTTTCCCTTATCTGACATGGATGAGATAACCCCAGGGCCATTTAGTGTGCCTCTACTGAAAATTTGGTTGGAGATTTTCCAGAATTCCCAAGATCCAAGTCATCTGCTTTCAACCTTGGCCTGGACAGCTTGTGCACAGATGCACTTTGCATTTTCTTGAACTATCTTGCAATAATTACAGGCATTTCTCAATGCAACAAGTGTCCTACTACAGTGTAGCCATTCCAGTGGCCTATATGGATAAAATATATTCAGTAGTGAACTAGAGTTGGCTATTTGGTTTTGTTGAAATTTTTCTGGGGTATAAAACTTTGCATGCCAAAAAGGTTCCAGACAGCAATTCTGATAGGCTCTATGTTTGAAGAATACTTAGGGAGGAGCTTCCACCATGTATGATTTATTTATATCCCTATATAACATATGGTTGTGTTCTTGGGTGATAATTATTGTGTCAAAAGTACAATTGGCATGCTGACTTCAAATTCTGATTGTCATTGTTTTTTTTTATTTCATCTAATTTGCACTGGAAAGACATTAAGCTATGGGTTAAATAGCCAACTAAACCTGATACTCTTGCCTTGGCTAGGGGTGAGGCTAAGAGAAATAAAAAAGACTTAATTCAAAACCAGAATGAAGAAGGTTGTGCTTTATCAAGCTAGCCTACCTTGTGCACACCTATTATTGTTATGGCTACAGCAAATGTGATAATCCTATAACCTGAAGGAATTATGGAATTCATCATCATGACAATATAAATGCATTATGATTGAAAGTTATTCAAGAAACACTTATTAAGCAGAAATCTTTTCTTTGACATGAACAGTAGTAACATGAACAGATACAATAAATAAATCTTTCTAAGTTCATATAAATCATAATTTTTGAAAATAATTTAATCAAATTAGTCAATCAGGAAAAAGATGAAAATTACAATTCAGACTCGTTAAAAAGTTTGCACATAAATAAATTTACTTTATTATTTCTGAACCTACACTGACACAGATATATGCTTGCATACAATTTTTCATTTCATTTTTGGCTCCCATGAGAATACTTCACCTATTGCTACAATCTTAACCTGTTCAAGTCTAGGGTTAACCTATATCTTCCACACAAATCCCCATAAACTGTGCCTCATACTCTATAGCCCTCTACCTTGAAAGGCTCTTACATCTTATACAGTGTTAACATCATTGTAAAAAAACATACGAGCACAAGCAATTATGTATCAAGATATATAATCATAAGATCATAAAGAATTGCCATGTTTTACAATGAAGTTTCATTCATAAACAGGCAAATTCATCTATTATTTTGAACATGCATAGAGAGAGTTGTACAGGATGAAATATCTGCTTTTTAAGGAAGACATGCATACTTTGATATTTGTTCAGAACTTGCAGTATTACATTAAATGCCAATGTCTAAGTATTACTGCACTTCATAATTTCAAGAATATATATTTGTCAAGTTTGGCAATTGAATGAAGACAATAAAAAATAGCAATTTATATAAAGCATTTCAAAATGAATAAATATTCGCAAAATGAAATTCTGAGTAGCTTCTCGCAAAAATTTGATCGATTCATTTATTTATATACTTTTGCCCAAAAATCTTCCATGTGAATGTTGGATAATTTACACACAGATAAACTCAACTTCAATATGTCCTGTGAGCATCAAATTTTCCAAACCCATTTTCCTTATTATGTGCCCAAGAAAATTCAAATGTCTTTTTCTGATTCTAAGTTTCCATTTTCTTTAAATCTTTCTCATTACAAATTCAGTTGATGGAATTCTCAGTATCCTTCTGTAAAAGGTTTGCAGCCACATCACATTGAAATATTGGTTCCCGTATGATCACCAAAGTTAACCAATATTGTGCATGGTCAGTAACTAGATGGGTGACCGTTTGGGAATACCAAGTGCTGTAAGCTTGGAGGATGTGTGTGTTGTAATAGATAATGGCTTGGAATTGTTAATCAGTGAACTGAATTCCAATTCCCATTGAGTTTCTTTCTAACAAAATATTCTTGTTTCTTAATACTTTGTTTAGATTTTGGAAGGCATTTTTAACTCTTCCAATGTGACAGATTTCTGCATCACATTTTCAATTCACTTTTAAAATTATTCCTAGATATTTTAATTTTTGTACTTGCTTGGGGTCAGTGTTTTTAATTCGTAGTTTGTATCTTGGGCCGTGTCCTTTGCTAACAACTATATATTCTAATCTCTTACAACTATTGATTAGTCATTTCTTCTCACTTTCCTTTACTGCATTTTGTAAAAGTTCCTGTAGTTTCCTTTCCATATCTGCAATCAATACTGTGTCATCTGCATATCTTACATTGTTGAGATTGTAGTTCCTGGTAGGACTTTTAATTCTCTAAGTATTGTCTCACTGTAAAGGTTGAATGTCCACTGAGAAAAACACATCCTTGTCTCATACCCCTTTCTATTCTTGTAAATTTGCTGAACTCATTTTCTATCCCTTTGCAGGCTGTTTACTCCCAGTATAAATTCTGGATTATTCAAATATCTTTCACAAACAAATCAAGCTTACTTAGCACTTCAAATAGTTCTTTGTGTCATACCTTCTAAACAAAAATTGTAATTTTTGTCAGAATTATGCTTTGAACTAACATACTCATGTTGTATGTCATTCTTATGACATTTTAGCCATTGTACCCTTCGGACATCTGCAGGTGTCTGTCTCTGTACTCAGTAACCTTCTCAGAATTTTGAAACAAGCCTTTCATTTAATCCATCGGAGGTAGATTGATGAAGAGAATGAGAATAATCTGGATTAAATGAGGAATTTAATGCAAAATTCTGAGAAGGTTATCAAGTAAAAAGACAGACACCTGAAAAACAGCAGAAGATACAACTGCAGAAGTGTTGTGGAGAGAACAACAAAGATGAGATGCAATAGCAAAGGATATAACAAAAAAAATATTTATTTGATCCTTTTGAATCAAGAACATAGAAAGACAATCTGAAATTTTATTTTTCTGTCATTTTAGCAGCTTTTTCTATTTCTGAAATTGAAAGTTAGGAAAGAGAAAATGGCTTTTCTCTTTCTTTTGCTTTCAATTTCATTGTTTCACTGCCTTTCAATATATATATATATATATATATATATATATATATATATATGTGTGTGTGTGTGTGTGTGTGTGTGTGTATAAATCATTTCAACTCAAGCAATGCAACAAAGCTACTAAGACATACATGGTTACTGAATGTGAAAGAATAAAAGAAAAACATTATTGAGTAATGAGAACAATAAAAGAACAGAAATTAAGAAGAAAAACAGTAACGACTGGCATTGTATTTAAATTTTTCAAAGTTGACTGGAAAGCAAGAAACTGGAAGAGTGTTCCACAAGCAAGAAGTACAAGAAAAGGAACTGTTAACAGAATTTATGGTTATATCTAGTCATCTTAATTGTAAAATGATGAGACCTTGCTGTCAATCTAGTACTGCACTTAAATTTATAGATTCTAGATATCATCAAGTAGAGTACATCAGAACAATTATCATGAAAGTTTTTATAGAAAATGCACAAGGAAGTTACATTAAAGCAGTGAGAAAGTGATTGAAGTTGAGATGCCAGGTCAGGACCATTATGTTGCAGATGATTCTTTGGATTTTATCAAGGATTCTAAATATAAAGCAAGAGCACTAAACCATATGTGGCAGCAATATTCTAAGCATGGACAAATGGTAGACTAGTAGATAGATCTGGGTGATAAAAATTATTTTACTCTTCTTATTCTGATTTTAAAATTCTATTTATTTCTTCTTTAGTTATTCTCTCCATTTTCTTTTTTTATCTTTGTTTTCATCTTATTACTCCTCATCCTCATCTTCACTTCATTTCCCCTCAATGTCTTAAAAATCACTTTTCAACAAGCCTTCTCATTATTGAAATTTTTGTAATTATCTCATTTTTATTGATTGCTTTTCTATCCAACACATTCCTGTCTTACTCCCAGTATTTTTCCTTCCACTTTTCCTTTTTTTTTTATAACCATCTTCATGATCTTTCATATATCTCTCAGTTACTTTCTGTAACATCTTTTTTTAAACATTCTAAAACTTTTCTCATTTCTTTCTTCTACATTACTGTCTGCTCTTTACTATTATTTTTTCTTATTATATATTTCTCTTTCTTCTTTTTTCATCTCTCTCTTTTCTATCTTTCCTAATATTACCCAATCTGATTTTTTTCCTTTTCTCTTTTTCCTTCCCATCCACAATCCTTCATCTTTCTACAGCAGCATCTTTTTTATTTTCATCAACATTTCTATCTGTCTTTCATCTATTCCATTTCATACATTACTCTTTTTTTTCTCTGTCTTTCTCTTTAGTGAACCTACAATGTTCTAACTCAACTCTAAAAGAAAGTGTTATATTTATAAATAAATCACAATATCTTGTCATGGCACACAGTATCTGCTCTTGTACCGTCTGCTGCCAAAATGAACAGTTATAATATAAAAGCCCTCAATACAGATCCTAGGCTTTGAGAAGTTTCGACTCACAAATGACAATGAAAGATAAAAAAAATGTGAGAAAGATATAAAGACACAAAAATTAATGGGAGAATATAAAAAACACGACACTTCAACATATGTTTATGCATTTATGCATAAGTTCCAGCATTCACATTGATACCCAACCATTTTATTTATACTCTTTTATCTATATTTATTAAATGTATAAAATAAATATATACATGTTATGAAATGGAAACACATATCTACATAGAAAACACACACACATACACATTCTTTCAAATATGGTATATTTATCAATAAGAATGCTCCATATCAGAAAATGAATATTTATAATTCTAGACAGTGTGTAAAAATCAACACTGAATGGTAATTGCCACTTTCCCACCTCAAGCAATTTTCATGTCAAGAAACTGAGTCTCCTTGCAGTGTTGATTTCTATGTCCACATTGTTTCTAACTAATATATGTATCCAATAAAATAGTGTTTATAGTAATAGAAATAATGTCAAATTTAAATTCATTAATGATTTATGTTAAGGTGTTCATATTTTGGACAAAAAATCTTAGTTGGCAGCTATGAATATTCAAAGTCCCAAAGAGAGATGGCTAAAAAGTGGTTTCCCAGAATATAAGAAATACAAGTTCAATCCCTGCTGAGAGGTACATTTTCTTTATTAAAACTTTTCTAGTCTAGGTTGGTGGATTTCTCAATTTGAAAAAATAAAATCAGGGATATCCGCAAAGACACATCTATCCAACACAATTAGATACAAGTGGATATTGATGTCAATAATGAGTGGCAACAGTATGATTCATGATTGAAAACAATACGCCATTGATCAGCCTATATAGTCAAGCCAAAAGACACATAGCCTGAAGATTGCAATGAAGCATGAAACAGAGTGTTGCTTCTTGGTGTTGACCTTAGTGTCAACTTAAATATTTACATATGCCCTAACCCTGATATTTAGCATTTTTACCCATAAATATAGCATACTATGTGTGTGTGTATATATATATATATATATATGTATGTATGCATATATAAATAAAAACTCTCATATTATCAGATTGCATTTGAAAGTGAGAAAGTTGGATGCATTTCTTTGTAGACGCATTCAACAATTTTAGCTATGCAAACTTAAATTTTCAATGAAAACAAATAAATTTTTCACTTTTCTTTGAGATAAATAAGAATACTCAGTTTTGTTTATTACCATTCCAATCCTTTCAAATACATTAGTGATTAAATTTTGTGAATCTGTGTACATTTTCCTCTCATCGACCTAACCAATATAGACATTGGTTTTGTTTAAAATAAAAATGATAAATGTAATTTTCTAATGAAGAAACACTTTAGATTTCTCAAGACAAATTCTTTGCTTGTTTAACTTTGTAATAATTACAAAGAAGGCCTTTAAGTTTATCAACAAAATCTAGTTTGATAAGTGTTATTCAATGCTTAAAATTATTTATTAAAAATAAGATTACACCTCTCTGACCATAGCTCAATTTGGACTCATTTAAACACACACAGAAACCTATCAAACTCCATCTGCAACATAGTAGTAGAAAATACAAGTATAATAGTCTCATCCACATGTAAAAAAAAAATTAAAAATAATAAAAGCACTAATAATCAAAAGAAAAATCCAAAACTCAATAACATAAAACTATGAACATATCCAGAATGTGTTAACTGCATGTGGAAAATAAAACATTTGTATAACTTTAAATACGTACATAAAAAACTCTACACATTCAGTTAAAAATAAAATTTGACCTTGATAATGGCTAAAAGAATAGCTGAAAGTACTCAGTTATGCAGAACTTTTAGACAGTTTTTAGACACTTTGTGTCCAGAAAAGAAAACGCTTGTATGAACACAAGAAAAATTAAATAAAAAGCTTAATCTCAGTACCTTGTCAATCATATTTAATGAAACTTTTATAAAACAGGGATTTCTGCACAAATACATGTGTATTTAGGCAGCAAATATTCTTTTAGGCAAATATTATTAAGGACAACATAGATTTTGCATTGATTAATTTTACTGATTGGCTTTTCCAAATTATGAATAATCCTTCTCAAACAAGCAAGCAGGAAATTCCATCCAAGAAAAAATATGGTCCATGTTTATATATATATATATATATTACTATAGATCCACTTATTTAACCTTGGGAATATTCAGAATCTTCTACTGATTTAAAATGGCTACAAGTTCTGTTATAACATGTAGCAGAATAACATAGAGAAGCTGAACTGAAAATCAGTTTGATAAGATGGAAATTTGAAAAACTTAAAACTACTGTTTAATTACAGCCTGTTACTAAATAAAAGTAGCCATAATAGTGAAAAATGTATCTGTCACTGAGCTGAGCTTTGTTTTTGAGAAACAACACACATTTGT